ACAGGCAGTTCAGGAGCCGGCAGGACAGGCGAGACAGGCAGTTCAGGAGCCGGCAGGACAGGCGAGACAGGCAGTTCAGGAGCCGGCAGGACAGGCGAGACAGGCAGTTCAGGAGCCGGCAGGACAGGCGAGACAGGCAGGTCAAGAGCCGGCAGGACAAGCAGGGCAAGCGGGTCAGGCAGCTCAGGAGCCGGCAGGACGGGCGCCACCAGCACGTGGCCAGCAGGGGGCGCCTCGGCGGGCGCCATCAGCACGCGGCCAGCAGGGGGCGCCTCGGCGGGCGCCACCAGCACGCGGCCAGCAGGGGGCGCCTCGGCGGGCGCCACCAGCACGCGGCCAGCAGGGGGCGCCTCGGCGGGCGCGGCCTCCACGCGGCCGGCAGGGGGCGCCGCGGTGGTTAGTGCAGCAGGCAGAGCGGGGCCAGCCACAGGGACTGCAGGCAAACCAAGCAGGACAGGCGGGACCGCTGGCAAAGCGGCGGAAGCTGCAGCAGGCGGTGCCGCAGGCAGAGCGGCGGCAGCTGCAGCAGGGAGGGCAGGCAGGACGGGCAGGTCGGGTGGTGCTGCTGGCCTCGCGGTAGTTGCAGCAGGCGGTGCTGCAGGCAGATCGGCGGCGGCAGCAGGCAGTGCAGCCGCGGGCAGATCGGTGGCGGCAGCAGGCAGCGCAGCCGCGGGCAGATCGGCGGCGGCAGCAGGCAGCGCAGCCGCGGGCAGATCGGCGGCGGCAGCAGGCAGCGCAGCCGCGGGCAGACCGGCGGCGGCAGCAGACAGCGCAGCCGCGGGCAGATCGGCGGCGGCAGCAGGCAGCGCAGCCGCGGGCAGGTCCGGAGCCAGCAGCTCCGGCATGGATACGCCGGGGTCCATCCCTGGAAGGACGGCATCCGCGGCGTTTTCCCCGGCGGGGAGAAGGGAGCATGCTCCCAAGAAGAGCGTCGCCGGCTGGGTTTTCCTCCCTTTTCTCCGGCCTCTCTTTTTGGAGCGGGAGAGAGCGGAGCCCTCTGGGACCCAGGGCAGCTCCCCAACGCTGGGGGGTTGAGCGGCAGAAGCCGCGTCACGCTCAGGTGTGCGCCGCTGAAGTGACGTCCTTCGCGGTGGGGTTGAGGCTGGAGTCCTTCCCGGCTTGCTAGCGACCGGGATCGAGGCAGGCGGTGAGTCGGGGGGCGGCTCCCAGGAGGTGTACCCCAAGGGGCCCAGCCAGACTGCCGCTCTCTCCCTCAGCTGCTCAAGGTGTTCTCCCACCTTGTCACGCAGCTGCTCCTCACCGATCTTGTGCCTCTGTCTCAGGAGCACCCAACATTTCTTCACCAGTGGGCGGGCTATCGGATCCCCTTGAAGCTCCAGCATGTTCGTCCACCAAACAATCTCTTCATCCAGGGGAAGCTTTTCCCAGGCAGCGCTGAGCGTGTTCGAGAGATCGGTCATTCTGTCACGAGCAGTGCTGCAGGCGAGCAGGAAAGCATACAAGCGGACCAGGAAGTCGAATAACTCGGGTTTATTCGGAGGACAGGACTGGGGAAAGCACACTAAACATGCGTCAATGACCGATCTGGGGTACACTGACTTAGACACGGACTAAATACACCAGACATGCCACGGAGAACGAGCCACAGGTGAGAACAATCAGGGTGAAAACAGGAGGTAATGAGGTGGGCGTGGCACACATCGGGAGCGGACGGAGCGGGGCGTGACAGCTGCACTCATAGCCAAAAATATTGGTACTTGCACTTCAAGTAACGTCAAATAAATATTTTTTTTCTGATGAAATTAACAGATGGTATTAAATGGGACAAAATCTTCTGGTATCCACACATAAATTTATTTGAATTTGTACTGGAGGACGCCACAAAAGTGATGTTATTTACAAATTGTTCACTTGTGTGGAACCACCTGATTGGGCAGCCAAAGTCTCTGAATGCATGTAGGGTTTTTGGTAGACTTGGAAAATTACTTACAGTACCCTTTAGATCAAACCAAATTCAGTCTAACTCCAGTTTACTTTGAATTGGGGATTGTTTTAAAATATTGTTCTAATGGTTGCGGGTAAATTTGTTCTTGGTTTTGGGACTTTTTGTTTAGTTCATCTCAGGCACTCACCTTAACTGACTGATTAAGCCCAGGAGCTCTAGTTCATTAATCAAATCTAACCCAACCATAGAATTGCTGTTCATAGGTGAAAGTAGTAGTGTCGCAATGAGTTATTTCTTAGCTGGTTTTGCACACACTCTTGTAAAACTAGAAAAATAGTGGGAAAGGGGATAGATTGTCCTCAACTATCTTTAACAAAGCTGTACTATGCAAGTGTTGCATCTAGAGAAAGGAATATGATTGTAAAGTTGTAGTTGAGTTCTACTCAGTACTACTTCAGTGAGTACTGAAAATGCATTGCCACTAATTACATTGAATTGCAATTGTATTATTTTTTTTATAGTATTTTATATGTCATAATCAGTTATGAGAACAAACTATGAAGAAGCTAAATTTCTTTAAAAGCGTCTCTTCAGTAAATTTTCCCCTTCGATTTCTAATGAGAAAGTTATCTTTATTTATAAAAACGTCATGGTAAACTCCCATACAGTTCATAAGTCCACTTTTAAAACTTTGTCTCTGATAATCGGTAATTGGTATCTTCCTGCTTTGTTCCCATGGTGTCATTTCTGAATCGATCTTCGGAATTTGAGTGTTTTCCTGAAGTGTCATCATCGCGTGTAAAATTGTCCTCAAACTCCTGTTAATACAAACCAGATGTCATTTTAGGGATTTCTTGCATTTGAAGCTCATTTATTTGATGATTGTAATACGTTTAGAAAATACAATGCATTTATAAAGTGGTTTTAACTAGGTAAGGTGAAGACCTTTGGGCTGCTTTTTGCTTTTTTAAAGTTTTTGAAACTGAATTCAGAATTCTGGAAAGATGCACGCATTCTTTAAAAGCATGTGGTCAACCTGGAAGCCCAGCTACAACCTTTTCGTTACACACACCCAGCAGCTGCACAGGCCTTATGCTTCATGGGACTGATTACAGACCAACCACAAGTCTGCCCTCAGTAAGTGGTTATATGGCTAGTGTAGGGCTCTTCAAATCTGGACCTCGACTCCAAATCCAGTCCTCGTTTTCAGTTCTCCCAGGTAGTCAGTTTAATAATTCCTGATTCTGATTGGCCACAGAAGCTTCACACCTGACTCACAGGTAAAGTAAGGCTGGAAAATCAGCAGTGCTTGGCCCTTGAGGACAGTTATTTGAATAGCCCTGGGCTAGTGTATGTGATTCTGAAATAATACAGCTTTTATCTCTGCCACATATGAGTGTGAAGACATTTGCATTAGTGCAGCACTCAGACCAAAGTTATCTGTCATATGTGTCTTAATGTATGTTTTACTGTCTAGTGTTAACACTAATACATCATGATTTTTGGACATTCAGTTTTTGTTTACGTGTGTTTGTGTCTCTTACCACTTTTTCTTTATTGTGCTCAAGGCCACACCAGCACAGTCTCTTGTATCTCTCAGACCAAAAGCAGAAAACATCACACACCGGCCGCACAAGGGAGGGCTTGATGTTGTTTATTGGCGTGGGACCTGCCAAGCAGAAAAATCATTTAAATTAGGATACTAAACAATATTCAGTGTGAATTGCATGCAGTCTGACATAGTTTAAATGGTGCCTTTGACCTACTTAGATCTTATGCTCTTATGTTGCATTAAAATTAAACATTCCAAAATCATCGATTAGGGTTTCAAAATAAGCTTTTAAAAAATATTTAAGGAGGATATAAAAGTGCTCAAACTCTTATAAGAACATAAGAAATTTACAAGCTCGTTTGGGGAGAACTTAACTAATAGCTCAGAGTTGTTAAAATCTTATCTAGCTCTGATTTAAAGGAACCCAGGGTTTTAGCTTCCACTACACTAGCAGGAAGACTATTCCATACTCTAACTACACGCTGTGTAAAGAAGTGCTTCCTCAAATTTGTTTTAAAATGTTGTCCCGCTAATTCCCACTTATGGCCACGAGTTCTAGTATCTAAACTAATATTGAAATAGTCATTTGGCTGAACAGCATCCAGACCCGTTAGAATCTTATAGACCTGGATCATGTCCCCCCTTAGTCTCCTTTGCTCAAGGCTAAACAGATTCAGCTCAGCTAACCTCTCCTCATAAGACATTCCTCTAAGACCATACATATACATACACATATTCCCTTTTTAAATTCAGTAATGAAAAAATTTATTCCAAGTTAAACATACAGTGAAATAGTGGCAATCCTCTTCTGAGTTTTACAGGCAATTACATGGATTTTTAAAGTTATAAACCGGCTTGCGATCCTGACAAGCTGGAAGATGCGTGGATACTTATTAACATAAGGGATTGTGCTCAGTGCAGACAGCAGTTTTATGCAATGGATTAGGCTGGTCTTACTCGACTTACCTGTGACAAAAGTAATCAACAAGCCCAACACAACAGCACCAACATAGCCCACTGCACTGTAGTAGAGATATGACATAGAATACCAGGAATCACTCAGTGATGACCTGAAATGACAGAGGGTGACATTTCAGTTTCAAGTGTAGATGCCACTTCATCAGAAACAGACCTTTGACAAGAAAGCTGTGCTTTTTGTTGGAATAAATGATGTCATTTTTGACTGGAACTTTCTATTATTATACATCATAGAGTAACAAACATTAAAGTCTCTATCAAGCAAATTTGTAGATTACTAGGTTATCAGGTTGCTTCTCCTAGTCGGAAATTGCTACTTTATCGTTGACCAAGATGCATTTATCAATTCAATATTGTGTATGTATTTTGGTATAAAGGAGATTAAGCAACAGAAATTTCAGTGTAGCATATTAAGTGACAATGCATCTTAAATAATAATAAATAAATCTGACAATAATGTCACTTAAATCAGTGTTTTGCAGAACAAATTAAATTTAATACTCAAAGGCTCTATAACAGCCATTTTATCCAGTCCCTAACAATGTAGCCACTTCTCTGCAATGACTGATTTTGTAAAATTCCAAATGCACTGATGCATACAATGCCTACCTTACAGGTGGGGAAACAGTGTCAGTGAGCTCAGGACCTGCTGTGATGTTTGTTACAGGTAGGCAGCCCATGGTGCTGAGTGGCAGAGGCAAGGTCTTATGGCTGGGAGCGGGATAGATGAAGCCCCCAAGCCCCGCCCAGAAGGAGAGGGCTATACCTAGTACCAAGCCACCTACTGCACCCTAAGGGAACACACCACAGTCAGTGAACACAAGCAAAGAACAAGCTCATTCTACAGTTGGTTGCATTAATTAATTTGTAAATGTTGTACTATCAAATAGAGAAGAACCATCGATTCCACAAGAAATCCTTATTTCTGTTTGGTGAAATTTTCCCCTTCGGGAACTGCAGTCTTAAAAACAACACTTTAGCTGACAGAAGAAATGCATGAAGTTCTATCTCATAATCCTCTAACATTTCTAGCAATTTTCTCAAATTTTTTCACAGTTCTGTCCTACTTCCTCACCTTCGAGTTGGTCCATGGGAACAGAATCCCCAGCGAGAAAAGACCTAACATTGGTCCTCCACACATGCCGTGTATACTCAGGGCGGCCTAGAGGATCGAACAGGCTGGGACACATTACAAAGGCGAAGCAGATATAATCCTAGAGCAGTTTATGCTTTTTGGTTAAAACAAAGTGATTTTACCTGTACAATACCACCCATATGGGATGCTGCTACAGCCATTGATGTGCAGACCACTCCAAACAGTATACCTGCAGGGACAGGCGCTTACTAGAGACTTTCCCCGAACTGAGCAGGTCCGTTAAACATGTAGCTGCAGTAACTTAGCAGCAGAGAAATCTAAACTGATGAGATGCTTTTCTGTTTTATGGTTTGTTTTTCATGATTTCACATTTGCTTCATTCTATTAGCTGTGGCCATTTACAGTTTAATGTCTCTGTGTGTTTGGGGCTAATGACCGGGTGAAATTAAGCAAAATCGCTCACACAGCCCCTTGCTGACCCAGGCGCTTGTTCTGTCTGAAACCCTCCCCAGGCTGTTTTTGAAAAAGTCTTCATAGGTTACAGTTGCCAGGGCGTTGATGCTAGCAGCCACAGTACTATAAGAAGACAAAAAGATTTGGTGATGACATTTACCCAGATTGTTTAGTTTATGTTTAAGCCCGTGAAATATAGAAACTGGATTATTTAAAAAAAATGACGTATAGATCACGTGTTTTTCCATTTTAGTGTTCTTTTATCCAGTAATTTTACAGCCTTTCAATAAATATGTTCATTTTCTGCGTCGAAGTATACAAAGTGAACAATTATTTATAAACCATGATTAAATCATGATTACTTCTGTGAAGCTACTGTGACATATATTCCTACTTCACTGTAGTTAGCATTATTTAGCAGAATCCTACTTACCTCAGTGTCCCACTAAAAGCACAAGCCACAAATAACCCTGGCAGTCCAGGCAAGTGGCCCAAAATTTCCATGACAAAGTAAGGCATCAGCTGCCAATGTAGAAGAGGGGATATTTTTACACGTTTTGTACAATATGGTTATATTGCATTGTGAGAAAGAGAAAAATATGCATCATGTATTATAAATTTCCTCCACTGAGGACCACTGCAAACCGGACTCATTAGTAGGATCACAGATAATATTTTTTTCCCCACTGTACATCAACAATTTTTATGTTTAAGAACAGAAAACTGGTTAACTGACAGGAAGCAGCGAGTAGTTATTAGAGGCACAATGTCACAGTGGGCCTGCGTTCATAGTGGGGCACCGCAGGGTTCAATTTTAGGACCACTATTGTTCCTAATTTACATTAATGATATTGACACCAATACATACAGTAAACTGGTTAAATTTGCAGACGACACCAAGGTGGATGGTGTAGCAGATACTAAACTAGCAGCACAGAGGCTACAACGGGATCTTGATTAAATTAGCGACTGGGCTGATACCTGGCAGATGAAATTTAAAGTAGATGAATGTAAGGTAATCCATGTAGGGAGCAGAAATATAAAATATAGATATTTTATGGGTTCCACTGAAATAAAGGTAGCTGATTATGAGAAAAACCTCATTGTGTATGTTGATGCTTCCATGTCCCATGTTCCATGTTTCGCCAGTGTGGGGAAGCAATTAAAAAGGCCAATAGGATGTTGGGTTACATCTCTAGGTGTGTGGAGTTTAAGTCAAGGGAGGTGATGCTACGATTATACAATTCCTTGGTAAGACCCCACCTAGAATATTGTGTGCAAGTTTGGTCATCATACCTTAAAAAAGACATTGCTGCCTTGGAAAAGGTTCAACATAGGGCTACAAGAATGATTCCTCGTCTTAGAGGAATGTCTTTTAAAACGAATCTGAGGAGGCACTTCTTTACACAGCATGTAGTTAGAGTATGGAATAGTCTTCCTGCTAGTGTAGTGGAAGCTAAAACCCTGGGTTCCTTTATATCAGAGCTAGATAAGATTTTAACAACTCTGAGCTATTAGTTAAGTTCTCCCCAAACGAGCTTGATGAGCCGAATGGCCTCCTCTCGTTTGTAATTTTCTTATGTTCTTATGTATGAAAATGGCCACTGAAAACAAAAGTTTTCAATAAAACAAATCCTAGTATTTTAATGTTAGGATACAGCTTGGTAATGTAAACATATGTGTGTTATATGGAATTACAGATTATGTGATACTGGTATGTTTAATGAATCTGTTCAAAGTGGAAATTTAAATGCCATGCCAAGAATATAAATTTATATCAACATCCCATAACTTACAGGATGATATTAATATGTTATTATGTGCAGGTGTATGATGTTTAATCTTTTCCTGAGTTTTACATTATACTGTTAATGCCAAGTAACATTAGTGTTATATTAGCACTCAGCCACAAGGTGGCATCCAAAGAATCCAGAATCTTCAATTAACCAAGGCAGTGTACCTGATCTGGAGCCTGCACATATCCAGCAGTCCAGGGATCACACTCATTGTAGAATGCATACATAATAAGGCCAGATGCAACTGCACACAGCAGGATCAGAAGAAGCCCTAAAAGATTGAGGTACAAAGCCCTGGGAGGTGTGAAAAAAACAAGAGGCATGGTTAAGAATTTCTTAAATCAAACGCAATATGATTTAGAAATGGGAGTTTAAATAATTCTTCATAAATTATAGCAACATACTATTTTTTTTGTCTTGCACACTAACCCAAGACAATTGAAATCTACCAACCGGTTGAGTACTCTGTGACTGTGACTCTTTATGTTCAACTGGTTGGTAGAAACAAAATCTTGGTCTGGATTTGTAGCTTCTGGAACTGAAATGCCCAACACTGTATGTAAATTAACAGTTTGAGCACTAGCCATTAAAGAATATAACATTATATGTTTAGAACAATGGTTCCAAATTACACAAACCTCTTTCAGTTATGTATCTACAAATCAACTATCCGGATGGTTGCTTGTCCAGTAGCAGGTTACAAAGCAGAGCAGTCATGGCAGGTCAGTGAATCAGGAGCTACTCACCTCTGGGCATGTTTCTCTGTCTTGCAGGAGATGCACCTTTGGATTGTTGATTGATTCACTCCATATATCCCCAGCCAGGTGAATGTACCACCGACAGAGATAGTCCAGAAGGTGTGACGCTTCGTAGGGTCAAGGTCAAAGCTGGGTGTGTCAATAACAATATTTAGCCAGTGACTCAAGCAACTTTGATGGAACTTGGTGGCATCACCTGTGGATATTTTCTCATGAAACAATATTAATATCAGTATTGATTATCCTTGGGCACAATTTTTTAAAGTGTTGAATGTGGGCAAATATTCATTTTTAAATGAATGCGAATATCCCTTAACTTACTCAAAAGCATCAAGCCGGGACCCATTTTGAGATTTATTCCACACAGCGCTGATTCCGCCAGTCTGCAGGACTCCTTGGATGAGCACGGTGAGGAAACCTACCACCATTACCACCATCTGAAAAGCGTCTGTCCAAACCACTGCTTTCAAGCCACCCTAAGATTAGCAGAGTTTCAGCAAAGGATTCCATAACACAGCCCTTCTATGGGATGTTCTCCAAGCCCTACCAGAAGTGTCCTGTCATTGTCACTCTATAGGACAATAAGTTGGTTCAGCAGAATATTGGGCGCTATCTGCTGGTAGTATGGTGGAAACTATGCGTTGTGGTATTAATCAACGTCTTTGTGTAAAATTTTACAGTAGATAAAACAATGATGGTTACAAGGTTGTTACTAGCTAAAAAGTGCTTATTAAATTGTTTAATTTAGAATGTTGCATGATTTTGTTTTCTGTTTTAAAATACACCATCTTAAGACCTAAATGATTTAGTAGTATGATGACCAGCTTTACACAGAAGCCATATTGAAGCGGATGAAAAGGTCGCCTAAATTCTGACATTACAATCTGTATTTTAGTAGCACGTCTAAATGGGTGGGTGGTAAAAATATGGTAAAAAATAAGAATTCAGCTGCACCAATAAAAGTTTCTTGTCCTGGACTCACCAGTGTGCAGTAGAAGGTGCAGACAATCCCAGTGGCAAATATGGAACCCCACAGATTGAACCCTGTAACTAGTATCCAGACAAAAAGCCCTTAAGCAATGTATTAATCTGCTAATTAAATGTCTTTGTAAAATGTTATGTGGCTTTTTTGTCTGATACATTTATTTATGTTTCTATTATGGGTATAAATACCAACATTATATAAACAATTCATGCAAATGAATCCTTAAACATTAAGCTGATTAGACCAAGTAGGACTGGACTGGGATTACTGTGGCTTCATGATTAATTATACCAAGTGTGTATGTGTATGGAGTAAAATTTTGCCACTGATGGGAGGGGAGGGTTACCCCCCATTGAATTTTGGCAAGCAGGGGGTCCCTTGTGAAAAAATTTGCCGTACCCATCAGCCCCCTATACCAGAGGACCAGTCCAGCCCTGGCTGCATGAATAAGAATCATCACTTTCTCAATTGCATTACCCCCACACATGGGGGTGTGTGCCTTTCAGTAGCATACCTTGGTTTAGGGCAAGAGCAGGGGCGTAGACCACAATTCCTGTGTACAGGATCTGAAAGAGGCAGAGGACAGATGTTCAAGTGCTGGAGCTGTGCGGTCTGACCTGTAGATTTGGCTGTGGAATTGTGCGCACTTACTGTCTGTATTATGTAGATGAGCGTGCAGCCCATGCGGACCACCTTACAGAACCTCAGCTCTAAGTACTAGAGAAACACCAGTAAGAACAGAGGTAAATGCTTATTCACTTTCTTGTCCCTAATAGATTCCTGCTATCACAGATGATATTTTTAATCATGAACAAAAATAAAACTTTAAAATATATAACATCACTGTAGATGTTTTGAGAATTTTTGTTATTAGATTACTGAAACACAGGCTGTTTTTAATACAGAATTTCACTGCTGGCAGTGTCTCCAGGTATGTGTGGAGACATGTTAAGAGATGTCAATATTCCAGTGCTGAGCTAATATGACAACTAATCGTGCTCATTTATCAGAAATGAAAGCAAAAGTGTGTCTTACTACCTCATACGTGCTGGTTATTCCAGACCGGTAGAAAACGGGCAGAAACAGCTCAGCTGTCAACATGACCATGAAGGTGTAGGCAACGCCAAAGATGATGAAGGAGGCGCCGAAACGGTACACATCAGAAGGAGCCCCCAGCACGGTTATGGCCGACATGAAGCTGGCCGTGAGGGACAGGGCCACGGGGACACAAGTCATCTGTCTGCCCCCCACCAGGAATTGGCTGGAGGTTGTCTTCTTCCTTTCTTTGACTGCAAAAAATATCCCAATCCCAGAGGAGACCACAAACAAGCCAGCAAACACCACATAGTCCAACGGCTTAAATGTCTGTTTCCCAGCGTCTCTCAGCTCCATAATGCTGGCATCAATTTATTAGTTATCTTGTCTTTATACCCTTCCCTAGAGTATGTCCATCTGCAAATCACTGCACCTTTGCAGAAATATGTATGAGAATAGTTGAACCAAAGTTTATATGCATTGACCAGAATCAGTAAATCACTAATTCAATTATCTTGCAGAGTGCTCAGCAAATATTGCTTTTTTTTCTTCCTCCATTCTAGTTTCATGATAGGCTTGTTCGGTTACCTCCCATTTCACAAATTCATTAAGTTGTTAGTTACATATTACACACGTTAATATGACGGTTTCTGTTAGCTGTAACTAAGGACGTACCTAGAAATTCTGGGTTCCCTGACAAAATGACACCTTGTGCCCCGCAGCCCAATTTTCTGTATAATTTTAGGCCCCCTGTCACATGTGGGGCCCCCAGAATCTAATAGGGGTGAGACCTCTCTGCCACCTATGTGAATGAATGAATGCTACTCCCTCTGAGACTATTAAAACCATGTTAACTCATCTCTATGTGTAACTCACCTCGTAATATCATTATGACATTATATCACTGATAAATTTAGCAACTGGTCTTAAATTTATTTTTTTAACAACAAGTTCATCCATCCGATATTTAATAGCCGACTTGTAAAAACATCGAAAGCTTTAAAAGTAATACATGAAGGATACTAACAGGCAAAAGTGCTGAAGAAGTGTTTAGCTCACAATGTAAAGTGTTTCATTTAGTGTGTTATTGATTAACCACCTGCCTTAATCAGTAATGAGCTAAGAGCTACGCTCAGACAGGAACTATTAAGCAATCCGGCAAACCAGGGAAATATGGAACAAATACTCAGGTGACCTGTGATGCGTGTTCCAGCTGCACCTTTATAATGGGAGGCCACAAGGAAATGCTCCAGAGAACAAACAGGGCATGCGCATTGTTGTAGAGGTGACAAATGGTCTGACGGGTCACGGCTCAGGAGCTCCTGAAGAACATCACCATGGTTAGCATACTGGAATAAAACAAGCCCAAGCTCCCTATGCTTTAATTGCACTGAAAGACAGAGAAGTTATGACCTCCAAGTTTGCTTTCACTCCCACCACCACTGTAGTGTCCTAGTTTCCTACATCCCAATGAATGATCCTAATGACGTTTCACAGGGGTGCTGAAGTCCGTTCTTGGGAAGACAAGATGTCCTAGCAGATCATTCAAATGAAGTCAACTGAAAAGTCATTCTAGTATTTTGCATTATCTTTGTCTTAATAAAATAGAAACAAACCAATAATTCATTAGTAACAAGGTACTCTCATGTAACATGTCTAATCAAAAAATTATGTAAAGTCAAGGTAAATACCCACTTAACCTCCAGCGGCAATAGTAAAAAGTACACTATGAGGTTGAGGTTAGTCCTGTTTCGCACATAAACATGCCATTTCAGCAAAGACGTGCCATTTCAGCAAAGACGTGCCATTTCAGCAAAATGTTTTTCAGCTCAAACTTGTTCTAATAAAGTTACTTCTAGTCAAATAACTATACATACAACTAATGCAGATAAAATGATTATATATAAAATGCTGTGGCGTAATCATAGAATCATATTAGATCTGAAGGCGTATATTGCAAAATGGTTATCTGTTACTTATTAGTAGGAGGTTACTGCTTTGAGTAGCTGTCTATATATTAACTGTGGGATTTTTTTTGTTTTAACATTTCCAAACCTGCTGACTTCATAAAAAAAATTAAGTAAAAGGGTACAAAGCTCGTAAAAAAACACATCTTCTTCACCTGATGTCCAGACCTAAAGCCTATTAATCAAGTCCCTTGGCTGGTCTTGATTTCAGTTCTGGAGAATTCTGTGTATATCACCAAATATTCTGAAGTCCTCTGTGAGCAACATTTGTCACTTTTTAGAATATTCCAAAAGTCCTTGTAAATATGATAAATTAAACAGTGTTGGAAGCCAATGTCCCTTCGGTGGTCAAAGACCCTTAACTTCCTGTCATTATTTTTTCCTACTAGTTTACTGTTTATAAGTGAAAATCAGACATATTGTTCCATTTCCATATCCCTTGGAAATTACTTTTTATACCTGGTCCTTCGGTAATTTGTTACCCTATTCAGTGTAACTCTTTCTCTTGGTCTGTGGGGACCACAGAACTGTGAGTCTGTCTCCAACTTGGTACTGTATTTATTTAGAAACTGATCTCTCTCACACTTACTGTGTGCATTTCCTGCATTCTTGAAATAATTGTGTATTAATTATGTTAAGTGGCCATCTTAGACAGATTTCTGTACTTTGTATGGTCAAATGATAGCAACTGTCTACAAATAATCCATTGGCATTGCATTTTTTTCTTTCCATGTAATATGCTTTTCAGTACACCAAGATACCAAATGGGACACATCTCTGTGGTTCCCCAATGCTTACGCTCTGAGAATTAGACCGTTGAGGGCCCATCTGTATATATCATGTCTTATTTGTCAAGAAGCCTAAGATCCACAGACAGGGATCAATGTTCTGCTGGATAAGTTTGCCACAGAATTTCCCATGTTGTTTTACAAAACTCTGAAGTCCACAAACAGGAATTCTTGATCATTAAAAATGTGTGTGTGTGTGGATTAGGTTTATATTACATTGTGGCGATCAAATGTCCCTCACAATGTAATAAAAACCTGGTATTTTGATGTTGTGGGGATCATTTTTCATGTCCCCACAAAGATCTGTGAATGTAAACAAAAAACTAAAAATGCCGGAAGTCTCATATTTTATTTGGTTACTTATAGTTAAGGTTAGGACTGGGTAGGGGTTAAGGTCGTCATGTTGGGATTAGAGTTTTCCCAATAGAAATGAATGGAGAGTCCCCACAAAGATATAATTACAAACCTGTGTGTGTGTGTGTGTGTGTGTGTGTGTGTGTGTGCTTGTGCCTGGTGTTGGAACTCTCTCATCCCTCTGCCCTATGCTCTTTTCTTCCTGGGAAAGGAAGGGTTATGTTCAAGACACCCTTAGTCAAATCCAAGTCAAGGCCATATCTTTAACAAAATGAGTCTGAGTCAAGACCAAGTCTTTAAACAAATAATCAAGAACACCGATTACCTGGTGCAGGTGTGTTGTGACTGTTTGGACTGCCTGTGAGCTGAGAATCACTCATTTGATAATAAACTGAGTGGAATATTTAAGTACCTTAAAAGTTTTAGTTATTGCTTGAAATGTAAATATAGACTAGAATATGAATCTTTAAAATCTGAAGCTTCATTGAATAGTGCTTCCAGGGAAACCAAAATTCCAACACCCTTATATTTGCACTGTATACAATTTGTGTAAGGACAGTGTACCCTCTAGTGGCTGCATTGTGCAATTTAACATCACTTTTTTTGTAGTGATTTCAGTTTCAAAGAAAAGTGGACCAAGCTTCAGGGTTCTGTGTTAATAGTTGGCAAGCAGACAACAGCATATATCTACTAAGCTGCACAGGTTTGGAGGACTTTGTTTCACTTCTGCTTTCTAAAGTGACAGTCGTTTGTCACACAGAGGCACTAAACAGAGTCCTCGCTGAAATGGTGACCTTGTGGATTACTTTTAGCCTATTTTTTTTTAATTGTGATGATATTTCATTTTCACCCCTCATTTCTGCTCGGTCAGAACAAAGATGAATGAACAAGACAATTAGCTACAGTAACAACTTTTTTGAACCTGTAACTCTTACTTTATCAGATCATCTTCTGGAGATGTTCATTTGACAATGCAGTTCATGTATACAAGCCTAACTGTAAATCTTGAACTCAAATTTTCACTTATAACATCTTCAGCTTCCAGTTCAAAGTCAAGTTTAATTTCATATCTTATTAAAATCACTAAGCCACTAAACTTGAAAAATATCTCTGTACGGCCTCTGCTTTAGTCAAATCACAAAATAAGCACATTCTGTTATGTGATGCAATCAGCAGGAAACTCTGTGGATGAGACACATTAAACACAGGCTTAGATATGGTGGGAATGTGAGAGGTATGGAGTAACAAAAAATAATCCAGACATCCAGGTTTGGTCAAGTTCATCGGTACAAAACTGTGCTAATTTCTACACTTCCTCAACATTATCAACATGCACCTCACTAATAGACCAACATGAAAAAAACAGATGTTTCAGAAGTAAAATATCTGTGCCCAGATTGTAGGAGGTGTATGATAAATACTAAAGGAATTGTACGAGCGCGTAGCGATGCGGATGCTTTCAAGCAGATTAGAAGAGTGAAAAAGAAATGTGGAAAATTTTTACATCATAATCACTATAGCAGAATCGATGCGTATCTGGCTCTTGTTTGTATTTGTAATGTAAAGAGGATTGAGGTGTTAATATTGGGGGATTAGTGCACCAAAGACCCAGTTTACCCGCCTGTACCATTTGCAGCTGGGCAAACAACCTCTCATATTATCGTCCTTCCAAACTATCACTAAAACAACCCAGCTTTACCTCACCAGCCTGGCAACTGGTGCTGTTGCCCACCCACATCACATATTCAGATGGCTTTCTGGGACCCGAACAATCTCTGAACATTTAAGAGCAACAGCAAACAGTGGCTGGAATGGGAACGGCAAAAGGCCAAAAGAATTTAAATGTGTGAGTGTAGGAGAATCCACTGAAGTGACGAAGATAGCCAGATATAGGGAGAGGGCTTTAGTACCGCTAGCTGAGGGGGAGGGATTCCCCCCTTTTTGAGACAACATTTGTTTTTCTCCCTCTGTTTAAGCAGAGCAGTATGCAGCAGGGTGGGAACACATGGTGTGGCTCTCCCCAGGGTGTGGGAGAATGGGTCATTTTCATCACAATACTCTCTCTTCATGCAGTGAAAGAGGACACACCTGCAGCCAGTGTTAGCATAAGATTTACAGAGCCCTCAGTGTGAAGACACAGCGGCAGCTTGCGGAGAGTGTGTCTTCAGGCACTGAATTATATGTCTATATTAAATAGGCAGGAGCATTTCACATGTCACCGGATTTTTCCCAACATGTCATCACCTTCAGGTAGAGAATTTGAGACCAGTGAAACACAGAATGCCCCTCAAAGTCACACTGCTGTCCTACACACACAAGCCACTTCTCCCATTCTGCATTTGAAGGAAAATGGCATGGAGCTCATCAAAGAACTGAGTCTTGGGTTTTCATGTCGATTAGTTCCATCTAATTTCTGGAAATTTATGTGGGGCATTTTTTTTCAGCCCCCCAGTAAGGCAGCGATGTTTTGGTTCCTAAATTTCCCTTTCTGAATCTGAATGTTTTGTTTTCATTTTTTTTTTTATTGGCAGAAGCAACTGCTTAATCTTCATGTTCCCTTTTGTTTGGCATTCAAGCCATTTGTACCTCAAAAACAAAGATTTTCTCAGCGTTTCTCAGCTATGCAGGGGGTCTGTCTAATTTGTGAGAAGGGAATTTGCACAAATTTTCTGTGCATCCAGGTTTATACTCCTTGTGCACA